GCACCTACTCCTATGTCCTTGCCCCAACCCCCACACACCAGGCCCTGTCATCACATGGCCTGTTCCCCCACACAATCCATTGTCAGCTCCTAACAGTCCCCATTAGCAGCTATTCATTCTCCCAGATTGACATTTACCTGTTCCTTTGTCTGCCCAACTGCGTCCTTGTCTCTCTTTACTCTTTCTCCTTCACCTTCACCTACACCCTCACATTCCCCAGGCCCACCGCCCTCCACCCCCCCACCCGTCACATCCATTTTCAAACATATATACCAACCTTTTCCCAACTACAATCAAATCAGTGGAGTTAGAAAAAACTAAATTGAAAATTAAATAATTGGAGTTAGAAAGGGAAAACGAGAACAGCTCTCAGTTATAAAAGAACAGAACCCTGGCTCTGTCAAAATTCTCTAAGCACTCAGAAAACCATCACCTAACTAAGGGTACCACAGCACTCTTATCTAATACTCCTGACTAAAAAATGCGACAGAGAAAGGTGTGCCTGATTGGAGGACAGCGGAGAAGACAATGAACATTCCAGAAGAATTATCCTGGCTGTAATTTCAGGAGATTATTTTTTACTAATTTGTTATGTAAGTGGGACTTGTATTTATTTGGACTGCATACAGTTAGAATTTTGATTTATTCGGGAATAGTTCGTAATTAAGGGGGAATTGTTTGGTTTGTTAGTAGTTCTGTCTTCACACTTCCTTTAACGGATTACGAGGCCAGGTGAGCTTCCCTGGAGTTTTGGTTTTAGTTATCGGGGGGGGGGGCGGGGTAGGATTGAACTCCGCTTTGTAACAGTGGCGACTTATAAGCTTTTCACTATCCTCATCTGCGTATGTGTGACAATAAAGCTAATTCAATTCTGTAAGTTCTGGGAACCTGATGAAGGACCAGTATTTCTGATTAGCTTATAACCCCATAACCATGGCCACTTTCAACTTGACTTCCATCTGAACTGAAGACCTGCCATCAGTTTACTTATGTCAGCAACTCAACTTCATCAGTAAGAAACCCAGTGGACCAAGAGAGGTCTTACATTCTATCCTTCACTTTCAGACCCTTGGCAACAAGGTTTTTCTGGGTTCTGAGGAAAGTCACTGGACCTGAAAAGTTAACTTTGATTTGTCTCCACAGATGCTGCCACACCTGCTAAGCTTTTCCAGCAATTTCTGTTTTTGTTTAGAGGTTTTCTTCCCTTTTGCATGTTTTTATGTAAAAACATGCCTCTCTGCAGATTTGTTTTTGCATTGTGCGAGTATATCAGTGTTTGGGATTATGAGACTATAGCTCTCATTCTAGTTTATGGTTTAGACATTAACCAGTATTTGCCACTTGTTTTGAGATCAAGTCTTGTTTTGTAGCAAACGAATTAATTTGAATTTACTAAAGACGACTGGTGAAAATCCCTTGTATTCTGGATAGTGGCACAAAAAAGGGAAACAATTGGCCATTTTAGCGACTGAATCAACATGTTTACAGTGGGGTGACTGGTGAGGTAGTGGGCTTGATCACGACCATACTTCTCCCAGAACAGTCCTAACATTAACACATGGAATTCTTTGTCCAATCAGTATTGTGTGGCACAGTCTGCGTTGCTTCTCATTTCAATGTTTTAAATATCTGTCTGTCCAGCTACATGTTGGCTCCGTGGTTAGCGCTGATGCCTTACAGCACCAAGGACCTGGGTTCGAAGTCACCCAGGGGTGGAAATCTGTGTGGAGTTTGCACACTCGCCCCGTGTCAGTGTGGGTTTCCTCTGGGTGGTCCAGTTTCCTCTCAGTCCAGATTTGTGCAGATTAGGTGGATTACCTAATTGCAGGGCAGGCAATGGCCTCGTGGTATTATCACTGGACTGTTAATCCAGAGACCCCGATAACATTCTGGGGACCTGGGTTCAAATCCTGCCATGGCAGACGGTAGAATTTGAATTCAATAAAAAATATCTGGAATTAAGGATCTAATGATCACCATGAATCCATTGTCGATTGTTGGGGGAAAAACCCACCTGTTTCACTAATGACCTTTAGGGAAGGAAACTGCATCCTTACCTGGTCTGGCCTAAATGTGACTCCAGACCCACAGCAATGTGGTTGACTCTTAACTGGCGGATGGGCAATAAATGCTGCCTGGCCAGCGACGCCCTCATCCCGTGAATGAATAAAAAAGGACCCATGGGAAATGCAGGGTTACAGGGATACGGTAGGGAGATAGGTCTGGCTGGGATACTCTTCAGAGGGTTGGTGTTGACTTGATGGGCCGAACGGCGTGCTTCCACACTGTACGGATTCTATGACTCTTGTGCCTCGTCACTTGTTGGAATTGCTAAAGAAGGCCATTTTGCCAATTTGTTTGTGCCAACTCATTCAATTAGTCCTATTCTTTGGATCTTTGCAACATTTTCCCTTCAAAGATTTATCCAATTTCCTTCCAAAAGTCGCTACTGAATTTGCTTTCACTATTTCTTCATTTAGTGCATTCCAGAACAGTGTGACCCACTGCACAATGCTCATTTCACTTCTGGTTCTTTTGCTAGTTACCATAAATCTGTGCACTGCCACTGGAAACAGTTTATCTTGATATAGTCTCTCAAAGTCATTTGTGACACTTAGCATCTCCATGTTCCTTTACTGCCTCTGGTCAAAGAACAACAAGCCTCCATTCTCCCCCATGTAACTGAAGACCTTTTTAAACTTTTGTTTTGCATTTAACAATAAAATATTTCCAGAATTATATAGTATAGGCGGCCTGCAGGTCTTGCATCTGTTTATTTCCACCATCTCATTATTCTATTTATACACATAGTGAGGATTTGGTAACTCAGAGACAGAGGGCCACAGCATGTAAAAAGGCCCTTAAGTAGTTTCCATGACCACACTGTTTGATTGGTTAAGCTGAAGAGTGTTAATAAGTTGTTAAATGCAAACAGCATCAAAGGAGAAGAAACACTCAGTCAAAGACAGAAAGCATATTTTTCTCTCTCTCTGGGAAGAAAAAGAAGAATCAAGGAAGCTTAAAAGAATCATAAATCAAGACAGAGCGAGGTCAACTTAATCAACCATCAGTTCAAAGAATGACAACAGCATGTCAGCATTGCAAAAAAAATCAAACTATTGGTTGCCCTGTTATAGGAAGGATATTATTAAATTGGAAAGGATGCAGAAAAAATTTATAAGAAAGTCACTAGGACTTTTTTCTATTCATTCATGGGTGCCTTACCAATGCCACCTTGATTATTTGCATTTCCTGCACACAATCTTTTTGGTGACTCATTCAGTAAAACACCCAAATCCCTCTGCACCTTGGATTTTAAACAACGTTGTACTATTACATTTCTGCTGTCAAAGTGAACAACTTCATGTTTTCCCACTGTAAAGTCCACGAGCCAGATTTTTTACCCATTCCTCAACTTACTTATATCCATCATCTTCATGGCATATCTTCCTACCTACCTCTTTCTGCTGTGAATTTAGCTTACTGTGCACCTTTGCTCCCTTCTTCTGAGTCATTGATGTAAATTTATTTTTATTCATTCACAGGGTTAGGGCCTGGCTAGTACTTATTGCCCATCCCTAATTGTCCAGAAGGCAGTTAAGAGTCAACCACATTGCTGTGAGTCACACATTGGCCAGACCAGGTAAGGATGGCAGTTTCCTTCCGAAAAGGACATTAGTGAACCAGATGGGTTTTCCCGACAATCCACAACAGTTTCATGGTCATCATTCGACTCTTAATTCCAGATTTTTTTATTGACTTCAAATTCCACAATCTGCTGTGGTGCGATTTGAACCAGGCCCCCAAAACATTACTTGGGTCTCTGACTAATACTAGTGACTAATGATATTGATAATACCACTTGGCCACTGCTTCCCCTCAAATTGGAGGGTTTGAGTTATAAGGAGAGGTTAGAACATTTTCCACTGGAGCATAGGAAGTTGAGAGGTGACTTTCTAGAGGTTTATAAAATCATGAGGGGCATACATAAGGTCTTTTCCCTCAGGTTGGGGAATTCAAAGCTAGAAAGCATAACTTTAAGGTGAGAGGAGAAAAATTTAAAACGGATCGGAGGGGAAACTTTTTCACACAAAGAGTGGTTCGTATGTCATATGAACTGCCAGGAAGGGGTGGAGGCTGGCACGATTACAACATTTAAAAGACATTTGGACAGGTTTAGAGGGAAATAGGGACAAGCGCAGGCAAATGGGATGAGTTTAGTTTGGGAAACTTGGTCGGCATGGAAGAGTTGGTCCAACGGGTCTGTTTCTGTGCTCTATGAAAGTTATTTTCTGAGAAATAACTTCCAACCTTGTAGACTAGACTTTCGCCCTTCCGAGCTACACTTTTTCTGACTCTGCCTACGTTCACGTTCTAATCGCAATGTAACCACTTCTCTTTAGTCTATCTGGATTGTGTGTGTCTGTCTCTCTGTGTCTGTCTCTCTGTGTCTGTCTCTCTGTGT